TCTGGACTCACTTATTAAAGGCTGCAGCTCAAAGACACTCAGAGCCTCACATCTCTCCTATGAGTTGTCCACATCACCCTCTATTCATGCTGACAGAGGGGAGCCACCAGCCATAAATGAGTCAATAAATAAACAACACATTTATTCTTTTATTTGTATGGTTTTTTTGTATTCAGTTTCAGTCCCAATAAATAATGTTTGGGGGGATTTTCAAGTAAAAGCCAACAATGCATCTGGGAGAGATGTTAGTTGGTGGCTACTTTGAGTCACTTGGTAAAACAGTTGACTTTGACCAAACTGGCTGTCATTGGACTTTATTTAATGAACACAATGATGAGTCATGCTATACACAATCAGGCTGATGGTTCTTGCTATTTCATTATTCACAACACAAACTATTATTTTATGTTTGAACGTGATAACAATAACAATATTTAATTCTTGAATTATCTCGGTTATCATCCATAACAGTACATTGCAACATCACTAGATGTAGTTCAAAGTAGCCCTGGAGATTCTTTACTTTTCAGATGAAATATGTTTTAGTGAAGCATGTCACGATCCCACCACGCCTGGCTCTGACTCACACACCTCGGTAGAGGAGTAACAGCCGCTGCTTCACAAAAAGCAGAAATTAAAAACAATAAATCTAAGATCTAGCACTGAGGCTTGCAGTGTGAATGTAATTTGTTCTGGAGTGAACCCTGAGTGGCACAGCTCTTACACCGTACGTACTCTTAGCATAATTTAACATATATTTTAAATTCTTTCATATTACAGTCTCCTCACACCGTCCCTGTACCCTACAGGAAATGTAAAGTGCAGAACACATTTCGTCAGGAGTTGGTAACTCTTCAGAGTCAGGTCTTCTGCAGTCATCCCAGGTTATGAGTCATCCACCCATCCATACAGTATATACGTGTGTGTGTGTGTGTGTGTGTGTGTGTGTGTGTGTGTGTGTGTGTGTGTGTGTGTGTGTGTGTGTGTGTGTGTGTGTGTGTGTGTGTGTGTGTGTGTGTGTGTGTGTGTGTGTGTGTGTGTGTGTGTGTGTGCGAGTGCAATCCACAGATTTACTTGCAGTAATGCACATCCTGGATATATATAATTGCATCCCTGTGATGCAGCGACAGAGAATGTGTGACCCTGTACGGCTTCACTCCGAGATAAATTAAATTCATATCAAGTGGTCCTCAAACACATATGACGAGATATTAGAGGCAAGAAGCGGGATTGTGTCCCTGCCATTGATGATTCAGTGTCTCTGTAACTAAAACATCAATTCCCCTCACAGCCAGTGATTAGTTGGGGAACAGTTGGTGAGCCGTGCTGCATATGGCTGTGATGAAGCAGCACGAGGCTCTGCTAGCTGCTCATCACAGTAGTTTTAAGTAGAGAAATTCTGACATGAGAAGGGATCAAATGGCGCATAAAACCTACATCAATAGAACAGGGACACAAAAAGAGAAAAAAGAGCAGCCTCCTCTGCTGTAAATTCACAGCATGCACCAGTCTTTGTGCCGGCACAGGTTAATGTGCAAACGAATCCTATTGATGTGTGATTTGATGCGCTACTCAAAGGTGAGATGGAGAGATTGATCTGAGAGTGAAAGACAGCATGAGGGGAAGTGGGTAAACACTCAGGTTTGGACAGAAAAAAAATACTCCTCTCTGTCAACCAGCCCCTCTGAGGGTGACATTACTGTTCCCATGGCAACGCAGCTGATTGCAGGAAAAATTGCTGTGGTTGTGGGTGCCATGGCAACACATTACATTACGTGTTAAGACCCTCTTTGCATGTGTCCCTATGTTGCCATTTTGCGTAATGCTTACACATGTCAACTCCGTCCCGATGACACACACACACACACACACACACACACACACGCACACACGCACACACGCACACACGCACACACGCACACACGCACACACACACACGAAGTAGAGGCCGCTACTGGTCACAGAAGTCTCCATGGCGACAACAAGTTGGACCTCCTGAGCCTCCACACACACACACACACACACACACACACACACACACACACACACACACACACACACACACACACACACACACACACACACACACACACACACCGCCTTGATCTGTTTGGTTTCCTATTCACACCGAGATTATGTTTGGGAGGCTAATCCCATGTTACACACACATTATAGCACTTACAGTGTGCCAGCCAGTGTGCAGCAATAGGCATTTCATGGAGGCTTGAGGCACATTATTGACTTTCTCAAAGCGTGTGTGAGGCGAGATATAAATATAGTCAAAGACACTCCAGATAGAGTTACTGAATGTCCTAGTAGGAGGTACTTGCGATAAAATCTTGGGTACGTTTCAGGTCGGCTGCTCATCTGAATAGTTTAATTGTCTTTTTTTCACACTGTTGACTTGGCTGGAGATGATGGTGGGTACATTTGACACACTCACATACGCAGCCCCTCACTCCTGAAGTCAGACAAGATATTTATTTCTCCGGTGGATTGTTTCAGAGGCAGAGCGTCTCCATGGTGATTGCAGCCCACAGATCAGGACGGGGAAGAGTGCGGGAAGGAGGCGGCAGCGAGAAAGCGAGATGATTTAAGCTTATCTGCCACTGCTGTACACTTGCTTGTTGACACACATATATGATTGTGTATTCATACAGGCGGGTAATACTCTCTTACCCTAAACCTCTCACTGCTGTCTCTCTCTCTCTCTCTCTGACTGAGACAGCTCCCTCTGCTCCTTCTTGATGTTTATGAGTCTATCAGGTACAATTTGTTTTGCCACCTATCAAAGATGACCTAGCATCTGTACTGTACTAAAGGCTAACTAAGCAACTTTAAACTTTACAACGTTGGAGTTGATCAATGCGGAGTACACCAACCTCCAAAGCAGTGTCCTGCTACTTATATTAGTATTAAAGAGGCACTAGTATTCTAATTTTCAGGTTCATATTTGTCTGCCCCTTCTGTTTACATGCTTTAATGTTAAAACATGTATTTATTTCTCTCATACTGCCTGTGCTGCAGCACCTCTTTTCACCCTCTGTCTGAAACCAGAGCCCAGTCTGCTCTGATGGTTAGCTGGTCGGGCTCTGTTGTGATTGGTCAACTGCTTAGACCCATTAGCCTTGGGGCGGGGGGTTCACCCTTTGCAGACCATTTGCATTCACAAAAGACTACAGGAAAGGGAAAACCCAAAAAGCAAAATAGGGCATTTTAAAAGTAGTATAATAGTAGGAGTAGTACATCATTTTCAACATGTAAACTAATCAAATACAGTATAACAGCTTTCCACTCTATTGATCCACATACAGATCTCGTATTGTGTCACAAAATACATAACAAAACAAACAAGACAAATAATAAAACAATGAAAAACATATATAAAAATCAAGGAAACTGAAAAGTGTTGTGAAGAACAAAAGGAGGTAAATGTTCTAATAAAGTACCAAGATTTATATTTCCACTCAAAGATACATAAAAAAACAACATACATGTAAAAATACATATAAATATATGAAATGTAAAGAGATAATCTAAGATGATCTAAAATAAAAAAATGTTTACAAAGGCATACTGTAAATCCATTGGGCGTCAGATATTATACATATCTGCAGACGTTATTTTCTGAACCACATTTGATAAAAGAACATTACTAGTTTTTCACAACTGAATATTTGACCTGGCATATGAGTCATTGAAAAGACCAGCTGTGTATGGTGTTTTTGAATGTATAAGATAGGGTCCCTGATTGTATGTGTCCGTTTCCTCTTCTCTTCAGTGGGAGGGACTGTTTTAACCGTGAGCTTGTCTTAGAAAAGAATCAGCATCAGAAATCCTTGATTTGTTAAGAAACTGAGAGGAAAAAAGAATATGTATAAAAATAATGGTGAAATTGCAGTTGGTTATATTGCACAAAGTTGTATACTTACAGACAGTGTTATTGCACAACAGGGGTTTTCCAGTCCAGTCTATGTGTGTGGGGGTCTACTAGGGGCCGTGGTGGTGGTGGTGCAGTCTGACCGCTGCAGGAAGGACCTGCGTTATCTCTCTGCGAGACACAGCGGGTGAAGCAGCCTGTCGCTGAAGGAGCTGCTTTAAAGCATCTTATCTTGTGATCACAGATGTGTTTGGTCTAGCTTTGAAGCGCTCTTTAACCCTGTTCTCAGCAGCCAGTCTGGTCGGCTGAAAATTAAGTTCCCATAAACTAAACTTCAATTTAATTTTGAAACGTTTCCAGGTGGCTGGTTTATTTTCGGTGTGAAAGCAAAAGTCAATGTTGACTTATTGTGGATTACGTCTGTATCTTTAATAATGTTTAAATGGAATCATAATGGTTATAATTGAGAGGTTTGATTCTGTAAACTACCTATTCAATTTTTTACCATATGTTTAAAACTGTGACCCCAATCCAGGACAAAATAATTGTCCCTATTCTGAGAATGCAGTTTAGTTGTTTGGGAACATCATTTTATGGGACAGGTTTCCATGCAGGAGCAGCAGCAGCAGAAAAACTCTAAAAATAAAAGCACAAACTTTACCTGCTCAGCACCAAACAGCAAACACAGTTAGAAACTAGCTGGGGAACATTGGCTAGTGGAACATTTAGCAGTTATATTATTATAAATAGTCAAAGGTTTCAGTCAGCAGAACAAATCGGAGCTAACAAAGTCATAATTTGACTCTTAAACAGTAGTATGAAGGGTAGTGTTTCTGCTGGGTGTGATAGATACTTTAGCGATAGTATGTCAATAATATGTTGTTTACAGATTGTTGCGTTGCTGTTGGGAACATTTATATATTTCACCGCAATTTTGAGTATTTGTGGGAGATTTCAATGATGTTTCTTATCCATTATTTATTTGTAATGTTGTGGGTTAGAAATAATGTTAAGAGGCTCAACCCGCTTGATTTCAGATCATAAGACAGATCATCTTCCATCATATTTCTGACTTGTATATTCGAATGTTATATTTATATTTTCCGATTGTCGTTCTCAGGTACCTCATGAATGTGACATTTGAAGGCAGAAACCTGTCATTTAGCGAAAAGGGTCATCAGATGTTTCCCAAACTGGTCATCATTCTTCTCGACAAGGACAGACAATGGGACAGGGTGAGTAACTCCTCTCCTCTCTTTTCCTTATCTTCTTCTTCTTCTTCTTCTTCTTCTTCTTCTTCTTCTTCTTCTTCTTCTTCTTCTTCTTCTTCTTCTTCTTCTTCTTCTTCTTCTTCTTCTTCTTCTTCTTCTTCTTCTTCTTTTTATTTTTATTTTTCTTCTTCTTCTTCTTCTTCTTCTCTCTTTTTGATTTCATTTCCTTCTCTTCTCCTTCTCATCTTGTTTCTTCTCCGTTTCTCTTTTCTACTAGTTTCCTATCCTTCCTATCCTCTTCTTCCTCACCTTCTCCTCTCCTCCTAATTTGCCTCTTCTCTGCTTCTTCTTCTCTCCTAGTGTCAACTTCCTCCTGCGCCTTATTCTGTCCTTCTCTCTTCCTCTAAACTATCTCCTCTCTTTTTCCCCTGCTTGGTATTTTGCCCCTCTGTGTTGTGTCTGTCACTTCTTCACTTGAAGTGTCTCTCTGCCACTTGAAGTCCCTGTTACGGTAGCCCGTAATTAATCACAGTGTCTCCCTCCCACTCTCCTCACATGCAGGTTGGCAAGTGGGAGAGAGGCTCCCTGACGATGAGGTACCATGTGTGGCCTCGCTTCGAGGAGGAGCGGGAGGACCACCTGTCCATCGTGACTCTGGAGGAGGCGCCGTTTGTGATTGTCGAGGACGTGGACCCGCTCAGTGGGACCTGCATGAGGAACACTGTGCCGTGCCGAAAACAGCTAAAACTAACGTGAGAATTAAGACATGATAAACAAAAGTGTGTTCATTTTTTCCCCCTTTTCTTCCTAAAGACATACAGTTCGTGTGTCTGGATTTGTTTTATAATGTGAATGCATTATGCATATTTTAAATTCAAGTGCTAATAATAGAACACTTTTTCTTTATGAAACTAAGAGTGTCAAACATATACAGTACATTATAATCAAAATGGCTGCAATATGAATTTCTGGTATACCCGGTTTTATTTTCAAAGTTGCAAATCACTAGTATAAAAAACACAAAACACACAAAGGCTGCTTAAGTACTCTAACATAATAATTATGTAAACTGTTAATATAACCAAAGGATAATACAAAAATAAAACAATGTTATAATAAAACTTGCCTGTAAAGGTGGAGGTGAATGCTCCCATCCATCATTTATTTGACATTTTTCTTGAATGTTGCCTTTTTTTGTGCGTCTTATGTTTCTTTGCTTATTATTTTCTGTCACTGCTGAATGCTGTAGAGATTTTCCTTTATTTTCTATCCTTGATTTAGAACATTTGAAGCATTTTCCTCATCACACAATCTCCCGGTGTCCTTTGATTACCTCTACCTGCTTCAGTTCTGCTAATTAGATCATTGTCTCTGTCGGTGATGTCCTCCCTCCCTGCCTCTTCACCATCTTGCTATCCACTTCTCCTTGGTGTGCAATAATGGATTGTTTTTCAATGGCCTCCTTTCCCATCACTGGCCTACCTGAAACCTCCTGAGGTTGTCCTACATTTCTGGCTCAGTGCTTTTCATATTGTCTGATCTTCCGCCCCGTTCTTTCTCCTATTGCCCCTTTCGCCTTCTCTCAATCCGTCCGTCTCTTCCATCAGACATTTCATGACATACAGTATTTCAGGAAAAGGCAGCAATATGCCACAAACAATATGTAGGATTTCTCTCAATGAAAAATACTCCATGAGCCAGATGTACAGGGTTTTGCAGATTTGTATTTAGAAGACCAAGCTTTATCATTTCATCTAAAAAAACTGATTTCTCAATGCATTGAAAGATGTACATGCAATAGCCCAGGATGAAACCAAATCCCAAAGATCTTCCCAAGTGTATCCTCAAATATGACTAAGAGAAGCAGCTTATACTCACATCTGAGAAGCTGCAACCTGTAAATATTTGGCCTGGTCGCAAAAAACTACGAAAAGTAACCAATACATGTTTTGAACATATATGTTTTCACTGAGCAGTACCTGGTGTTTTTATTGTATGCCTTAACATAGACATCATGTTCTCGGGTTACTTTTAGTCCATATTTTTTTCTTGAATGAAATATCTCAAAATCATTTAAGGGAATTTATTAAATTTGGAACAAATGTCAACTTGCACTCTAGGCTGAACTGATTAGATTTTGTTGGTCAAAGGTCATTGTGAACTCACACGGCACAATTTGGGCCTCAAGAATTCATAAGCTTATAAACGGGATTCACAACATTTGTACGAGGATAAAGTGATGACATTTTGGACGGACATGGATAGGGAATAGTTGGCGGAGGAATACAATCATGGGCGGTATTAATAAGAAACTGGGGGGAGTTTTTTGTGGGAGGGAAAACCTGCACAATCCAGACACATGTCAGCTTGGTTTATTTCACTTTTATTTAATCTCATCCCTGCTTATTTCCTCTCTCTTTTACATCTGCTAGTTTGATTAACTTGAACCCAAATAAACTGTACTTCCTCTTCCCCTACCTTTACTCCCTCCCTTCCTCTTCCTCCAGCAATCAGACGGGGGATTCGGGGATTTACATCAAGCGCTGCTGCAAAGGTTTCTGTATCGACATCCTGAAGAAGATCGCCAAGGCGGTCAAGTTCACCTACGACCTCTACCTGGTCACCAACGGCAAACATGGCAAGAAGGTTAATGGGACATGGAATGGCATGGTTGGGGAGGTAAGGCCTTTATTTTACTCACAATCATACACATGTTATGCATGAATTTAATCGAAAGAGCACTTTACCTAAACTGTAATTATATTAAATCATTTTTAACTGACTTCCATCGAAAGTAGCATAGTCTTTTTGTAAATTTGCCTTGACTGCAGGTCTTTTTCAGCATTGGCAAACATTGAACTCACCATCGTGGGTGGTTTAAGTATTCCTACCACCATTTACTGTAAGTACACATTTTCTTGAAGCTTAATGCATTCAGTATGCCTCCCTGAAGACATTATGCAACACTATTTATAATAACACAGCGAAACAAGTCATTATAAAACTTAGTCTGCTTCAGATGGCAGGGGTCAAATTTAACATCTGCTATTTTTTTGTGTAAGAAATCGTTGCGATTTCAGAGTATAGCTGAGAATTTGGTTACCGAGCTTTGCTTTGTCTTAGCATGTGTTAATATTCCCTGATGGAGGTCCTTTTAAAAACTGTAACTCTGAAATGTAAAATGAATAACTCAATTCGGACCACTCGAATACTGGCTTCACAAATATGAACCAAAACAAAATGTGGCAATTGAAACTAAAATGCAGTGTTTGTTTTCTGTTCATAAACCCATCATAACACACCAACACTGAATCTAATGCTGGATGAAAAATGCAGCAGTTATAGATGAATCATTCTTAAATCATTACATTTTTTACATGTATTCATTCAACTTTATGTTTACTTTTTTAATGTTTGTAGTATGTTTGATGTTTTTTCCGTCTCTTTGCCTTACCTCTTAACATCGCTGCTCTTATAGCAGTTTGTGATTCACTATTATTTTTGTAAAAAAAATAGTGTGTAAATCAATGCACACATTACCAATTAGCAACTATGTCGTTTAATAATAATGCTAATTCTACTGCAACTGGGTTTTGGAGCCCCGAGGAATTTATTTTGATGATAGGTCTAATTATATACTGTCTGAATGTCTCCTCCTCAATGTCTCTGTCCGCCATCAGGCTGCACTTGTTCCTCATATGTTGGCCTGAGGGGGGGGGGAGAGCAATGAGGCTCCTAATCAGAGATGGAGAAAGAAAGAGACGTTGAGAAAGAGAAAGTGATTGGAAGAGAGAAGGAGAGAGAGGAAACAGCCTCAGGGAAAAACCCTGCTCTCCTGAACACATCAGCGCAATGCAGTCTTCACAAATCAATGTGATGTCCATTTGAATTGATAATGGCATAAAACAAGCAACTTTAATATTAAAGTTGTATCTTAGGGACGTATTCAAGTTAATATGTGCAGGGCAATATAATAACTGTATAAACTGCATATATTTTTGTTTTGATAGCAAATGTGCAGTGCCTGCATGCATTGGTGCATTAGTCCATGTCCTGAAATGCCCAAGCAAGCAGCTAACTATTTTGTTTGGGGGGGGGGGAAGTAAACGCAGGAAACCGAAAGCGAGAACATAAAGAAGGCCTTCATGAAGAAGTGTGACAAACATAGAAAGAAAAAACTGAGCGTAGAATGTCTGCTCACTCTGGCATACATACTGAATATATCCCTTATTAACACAGTCTTTTGTGCTCCCTGTAATAAATGGCTCGAGGCTCCAGCTACTTAGGGCTAAATATACCTTAAACACACCCAGATGGAAACTGGGGTTGGTTGGGAGTCAAAGACTGACCTAGTGTGGTAATGATCCCCTTCTCCTGCTGCTCCCATTGTACCAAAATAGCGTATTAAATACTTGGCAAAGTCGGTGGCTCTTACCACAGCCTATTAGGGTTGTTGTGGGTGAACATAAATGAAAAGGAGATGAGGTAATGGGGAGCATTCAGAGACAAAATTACAGCTGTGATATTTGATCAATTAAAGTGGTATATTCAGGGGAAGAATACTTACATCTTCACAAGTTTAAAACCTTCCTGAGATTATAAAGTCATACATTTGCGTAAAAGATAATCAGAACTGTGGCACAAAGGCACAAAGCTGTGTGTTTTATGCTTGGATGATAAAATTATACTTTGCAATTATATATAGCAATGAGGAAATTATTGTTATTTCAGCCCAGAATCAACACATCTTGATTTGAGCCTATCCAGAAGATAATAATGTACTGATCTGGAAAGTTGATTAACGCCATGTTTCATACTGTTGCACTGTTTTGCTACGATTTGTGACTTTAAACTAAGAAATGTGGTTTTTATCCTCTAAATAGAACCCCCTTCCGCCTGGCCCCTCTACTATATATGTATGGCTGCTATATGGATTGTTTATGGACTGCAGCACTGAATGACTTTCACATCTCCCTCTGTTTTAACCGCGATCCTAGGGAAATTGAGCACTGACCTTCTCCGTTTCCCCCCCGTCTGCCTCTGTGTGTCTGTGGCTGACCTTCAGGTGGTGTTGAAGAATGCTCACATGGCAGTGGGTTCGCTCACTATTAACGAGGAGAGGTCACAGGTCATCGACTTCTCTGTGCCTTTCATTGAGACGGGCATCAGTGTCATGGTCTCCCGTAGCAACGGCACCGTGTCCCCCTCCGCCTTTCTCGGTGAGGAAACACACCTGGTACTTTTGGCAGATGAACCACACAATTGAGAGAACAATTACACACACACACTCAGATTGAATAATAAATGCTTACTCACAGACCGATAACAAGCAGGTTGTTCACAAATAAGGACACTGTTTAATTGTGTTTTTCAGCAGCACAAAACAACAAGTTTGGTCATGTGGTGATATAATATGCGGTTGAAAAGTTTATATTTTTCTGTGAATATCACCAAAAACATGATCTGTACAAACTGTGCGTCAACAATATGTCGTGAAAGTGCTGTGGCCGAGATTTAAATGTCATTCTTAATCTTTAGAAAGTGTAGTTCATTAATGAATCCCGCCCCAGGGTCCATTTAGTGGTTATTATGGAACATCCAATCTGAAAACAGTACAGTATAGAGAGAGGTAATTGTTAATAAAGTAAAAGAGAACATTGTTGTTAGCTATTTTTTAAGAGTTATCTAAAAAATGTTCTCTTCTGTGTTAAATTAATTCAGAGAAAGTAATGTAACCTCAATGTCATGTTTCTCTTTTAGCTAGAAATCAGCACTAATCTGTTGCTTTTAGTCCTATTAAGAACAAAGGCCTCTAGTGGGCTGAAATGGGTATTACAACAACATAAATGTTTCCTACAAATAACCTTACAACACATTTTGTATCACAGGAAAAATTATTTTTCACATGTTTAAAAGACATACAGACAGAAGAGAAAACAATATTGATCCAATTTGGAAGTGTTTTTTAAAATTGCGTCTCAGGGCTTCCGTAATAAATAGTAGGAAAAGTGGGGTTTGATACAATTAACTTTAATTGTCGATAAACACTGCTGATGAAGATGATACAGTAGAAAGCTCCAGAGCAGCCACTAAATGGAGCTTGTAATGAGATGCTTTGCTAACTAGATTGCTACGGTATTTGTCCAAGACTGCCATGTTTGTGAACATTGCAAAGCAGAGTGCAAGTGGTGGAAAATGTGCCCATTTCAATGAGTACATGTGTCCATTCACACCAATCCTCTCAGTTGCTCTGTTGATAAGTGCTTCACACAAACGCAGACAAAATCCATCAATCTGCAACAATGAGCCATGCGGTACATAACGTCTGAATACAAATAATCATGTTGATACCAGGGGGGGATGTTGTAATATTCTTTAATTTGGTTTAATGAACTTCCTCTCTCTGTCTTCCCATAACCCTCCCCACCTCCCCTTTTCTACTTCCTCTGCACCCTTTCCTCCCCCCTGTCTCCCCCCTCCCTCTCTGTGTTTCAGAGCCCTTCAGTGCTGATGTCTGGGTGATGATGTTTGTGATGTTGCTGTTGGTGTCGGCCGTGGCTGTGTTTGTGTTTGAATACTTCAGCCCAGTGGGTTACAATCGCTGCCTGGCAGATGGGCGAGGTGAGAGGATCGCACACACACACACACACACACACACACACACACACACACACACACACACACACACACACACACACACACACACACACACACACACACACACACACACACACTCTGATGCAAACGCACACATATGCAAACACAATATCAAACCAGGTCAATGGATGCTCCAAAAAGATGGCATTGAAGTTCATTTACCGGGCGATCTCTTCATCCACACGGATACAATCTGCATTCAATCTGCTAACAAATGACTCTGCAGCAGTCACAGGTATTTATCTGAATGACACCTGGGTCATCAAGGTCATTTTCACACCTTTTCCTGAACAATGCTATGTGACGCATGTTGACGTGAATATAGAATAAATGCAAATCGTTTGGACATTTATTATAATTAAAGCATATAATTTATATTCCCTTTCCGTAGCCACAAGAATACAGTCACACTGTTATGGCAATAGATGATAGTAATATTATTCGCAGATGAACACACTTAATTTAAACTCAACAGAAACCGTTTGAAAACGTATCAACCTGACTTGGTTCGTCTTCCAATGCTTCATCCATAACCAGCTCTGTCTCAGAGTTTGACAGAGGGACTGAATAGGTAACAGATAACAAACAGAAGTAACCAATCACCATATAGGCGGCTGCGGCTCAGTGGATAGAGTGCTGGACTTTGAATCAGGGGATAGCAATCTTGAGTCCCACTGCAGTCAGCATGTCGTTATGTCCCTGGGCAAGACACTTCACCCCAAATTGCTCCTCTGGGGATTGTCCACAGTACTGAATGTAAGTCGCTTTGGATAAAAGCGTCTAACAAATGACATGTAATAATAATATCTGCTTTACATTGTATACCAATTGTCCCTTCAGTGCATGCTTGATGCCCAACATGACACACTGGAAAAGAGAAAAACATGTTCTTCTCCTGGGAAATGGGTCTATAACCTTTTCAAACTGAGCTACATTTGGTGGAAAAGAGTATAACTCTGCCTGTTTTGTTACCTTGAAAGCACCTTTTTGTGCAAAATGACTCTGAAAATCCCTTCTGAATGAGTGCAGCTGGGTCTGGGAGTACTTATCTCCATCTACAGTCACTTAAGCCCTTTCACTAATGAAAAGGCTCATTGACAAGAGCCAGTAGATGGATGATCTTAAGTGTTCTTACCCTCACCGTGAGAACAAAGACTGCTCTGTTCCAACCTCTTTTTTTCTAGTGCCATTCTCAAATACTACACAACGTCGTTAGACCGCCACACTCAGGGTTGTTAAACTGATGAGTACACTTAAGTAGATCTATTACCATACATAGACAAATATGTGTCAGGTTCAATGGTGTCTGACAGTATGGAGCGACGCTACCCTGTTGAATTCAGCTCCAGCAGGCCGTTCAAATCAATTTGCCCTTCAAAATCAATGGTTCAGATTCAATCTATTTTGTATACACCTAGCTCTGTTTGACTCAGGATTGCATTATCCTGAAACAGCCACTCAGGATAAAACCAGAGATGTGTTGTATCTGCTGCTCCCAGTCTTTTTATCAAGCAGCAGAGAGGGGGAGAGTAATGGTGTTTTGTTGGGAGTTATGTTAGTGTTTTCTGAATGACAGTGTATGCTGTGTGTGGTTTAATCGCTGGGTTATGTAAAGCCTGCTCCAGCTGTAGCATAATTGCAGCCTGCTGTTTGCTCATCATCCACGCCCCCCCCCCCTTCTCTCTTCCTCCCTGTGTCCGACGCCTCAGAGCTACAGTAGGTAGTGTTTCCTGTCATGCCGCCGCAGAGGTAGGTGGAATAGAGGTAGTATGTAACAGTGGGTTGTCACAGTAGTGTCTGGAGGAGCGGGCGTGGACCGTACAGCACATCCTCGCTGACAAAACTAAAGGATGGGAAGAAATCCTGTCTTTGTCGGCGCCATCCATCAAGTGCCTCCCACCACGGCGCTCATGAGTAAATGCAGATAAAGTGAAGCAGCACCTGGGATCTGTGAGACTGATTTCTTTCACTCTCTTCCCTCTGTCATCTTTCTTCGCACCCCTCCTCTTTTATTTCTGTCCCAGAGCCCGGCGGTCCCTCCTTCACCATCGGAAAGGCCATCTGGTTGCTATGGGGTCTGGTTTTCAACAACTCCGTCCCTGTGCAGAACCCCAAAGGTACCACCAGTAAGATCATGGTGTCAGTGTGGGCCTTCTTCGCTGTCATCTTCCTGGCCTCCTACACTGCCAACCTGGCAGCCTTCATGATCCAAGAGGAGTATGTGGACCAGGTGTCGGGCCTGTCAGATAAAAAGGTGGGAATTGAAGGAATGTGAGGGGCGGAGGAGCAGGTGTGTGAAGTGTGTAATGTGGGGTGATGTGAGCGTGGATGGCTTTTAGTTTTCTAAAGCATTCTAAGTAAGTAAATATATAATTGGGTTTACAATGTACGGCAGCCATTGAGGTGATTTCTCCTTTTTCTATTATGTATTTCAGTAAACCTTCATTTAAACAGAGTGTGAGTCATCATTTTATTGAAAAAACAAAAAGTATATTATAAATTGAGATGAATCGTCTAGTTCAGGGGTTCCCCATTATTATATGAGCGTCCTATAAGTAACACCACCCATGAAGTTTCAAATGTGATCATTTAAATGTATCTAACACTCTTAGTAATATATAAGGTATAACAATTTACAATTATTTTAATCCGCGGATGATTGCTTAACTCTTACTACATGAGGCACTCATTCTATCAGTGAAGCTACCTGTCGCCTTAATATATTCATCAATTTCGATGTATTTTCACGTAGAAATGTCAAAAAGTAGGCTACTTACAGTGAGGACCTGCTTCTCTTCTTTTATATCTTGCTTTTTTTTGTCTTATATTATGTTAAACTAAATGAATTTTGGACACTTTTTCCCTTTACAGCCCAAACGATTAGTCGATAAATTCAATGTATCAATCAGTAATGAAAGTAATCATCAGTTGCAGCTCTCAAAGAATCTTGTCTCTCTTGTATGACCTGAATGGTGGTGATTATTTTTTTTACTTGATCTGTTGTACTGTACATGTTTGTCTAAATGTGTCTAGAGTCTCCCAGGTGTGTGGGTCTACTTAGCACTGTGATGCTGCTCAACGGTGCATTAACGGCTGTTTGATGCGGCTCAGCGCCTTTTCCAACGCTAACGAGGTGTCCTCTCTCATTTTCTCTGTGTGGTTTCGTTTCCGGAAAACCCCCTGCCACAGTTCCAGAATCCAAACGAATTCTCACCGCCATTCCGGTTCGGCACGGTGCCCAACGGGAGCACAGAGCGCAACATCCGCAACAACTACCGGGACATGCACACTTACATGACCAGCTTCCACCAGAAGAACGTAGACGAAGCGCTGTACAGTCTGAAGAGCGGGTGAGGAGGAGAGAGATAGAGGGGGAGGACGGAGAGACAGATGGGGGTGGGGGGGGAGTTGAAAGGATCTCAGCAGGGAGAAGAAAGACAGCGTGATGGAGCTGTGAGGTCCTGTACTGATGCAACACAGAGGAAAGATGATGAAGGAATAAGAGAGGGAGACAGAGGGAGAGGGAGCATTCAGGGCGATGTGGGTGAGCAGCTAGTAGAGCTGTGCTCCAGCACCCAGAATAGCAGCGGAGCTTGTGGTTACTATGAAAGCTAGCTCATATTCTCCCTCTCTGCCGCGGAAACTCAGGCGGGTATCTAACTGTTTCTCTCTCCCTGTCGTTAAATGTTTTTCACAAACCAGCTGCTTAAAGATTAGGAATGCAAAGCAGGGATGCACCTCTGAATGACCACAGAGGCCTTCAGAGCTCAGAGGAACAGTTCCATTGAAGTGTGTCACTAAGCTGCAGACTGTCATATCAATTTACCTTTAAAATCAGACAGAGTTGATCTGAAAAGAAAAGATAAGTGTTCACTGCTGCAGGAGTGAGACCTTAAATCAAGAAAAGAGATAGCATTTTTGCAACAATTACCTCGTCCCTAAGCCACTCAGATTTTAGAAGTTTGTTTTTGTTTAAGCTTGAAAAAGGGTCTGTGGTTAACACAAGCTTAATAATATACACTTTATATATAAACACACAATATAATATTCACCTTTTTGTTTTATGGACTTCTATTTGTCAGTAAATACCCAACTTGTGCATTTTGAAAAAAAAAAGGTGGTTGCAAACTGGCAAAGTGGCTTACTGAGTAAATCACTTCTCCGGATTGTATTTATGCTTCAAAAATAAAATTAGTGGTGTGAAAACTTTCTTGCTGAATGAAAGATGTAATTATCATAAACATTTGTTTGTAACAGAGCATTTTTTCTGTTTTATTTGAGGGAATACTCCAGGAAACCCAGGAACAGAAGAGAATAGAATAAAAGTATCAGTCATTGTATCCAGAATCTCTCCCTGTTGACTTTGTGACATTGTTATTCAATATGCTGTATAGTTCCTCATAGTGTCTTTAGCATGCACACCGCCTCAATGCAATGTTTTGCCTATCAGCCCTTAATTATTCATGGTCTCATACATTTCTTATAATTTCCTTGTAAGTTTCCTTGAAATAAATATGCAATTTGTAATTAATTATTGCTGAAACAGAGAAAGTTAAATTGTTATACTTTCAATTAATTAATTCCAATTAAATGCTAAGCCAGCGTTTCCTTGAGTGTTTGACTCGGTGTACAGCAGGTCGTCTGAACGTGCAGAAATTCAATTCAAATTAATGGAGAGCACTCCAAAAATAATGAATGACAAATTAATTAATTGAATTTCAAGTGATGTAATAACCTTAATTTTTAAGCTCATTGGTTTTAAACGTATGCTATGATCCCTGGTGTTTTTTTTTATTATGTTCTATTGGCTTTTATTTTTTAAATATTTTTTAAATGTTATTGTTGTATTTTTGCCATTTAAAACCATACAACATGTTATTTATTCATTTCACTTTGTGTTACTCTCTGTAAGGCTCTTTGGGTTGCATGTTGGTAGGAAAGGGGCTCTATAAATAAATTATTTCAGCTGAGTTGAATATTTTTGGGGGGTAAACATTGAGAGGATCATGCATGGAAATGAATCCTATAACTCTTTTTAAACCAAACAAACTTAGCTGATACAACAGTCTGAATTAGATTCATAATAAGTACCATGAGACTTTCAAGAAAAATCTTCAGAAGTTTCAAAGTAAATAACAAACCCATAGAATGTTGGTGTGAACAGTTATGCATCGTGTTAATAGATGTTTAGTTTAATCAATGCTAATTTAATGTGAATAGTGATGAGGAAGTGAGGGATTTCAGACTCATTCACAAGTCCAAAATGGACACAGACTTTAAAAGTGTCTTCTAACAGCTATTCCTTTCATGGCGCTCTGTAGCAAACTGGATGCCTTCATCTACGACGCTGCGGTGCTGAACTACATGGCGGGCCGAGACGAAGGCTGTAAGCTGGTCACCATCGGCAGTGGCAAGGTGTTCGCCTCCACCGGCTACGGCATCGCCATCCAGAAACACTCCGGCTGGAAACGAGCCGTGGACCTGGCCATCCTCATGCTGTTTGGAGACGGTGAGGAACTTTAACAGCATCTTTTATTTGAAATAAGAGGCCTCATAAAGGTGATTATTTTAAAGCATGAGAATGAGAATGGCTTTTCTCTGTTTCTTTTAATAAAACAGATAATCAGATTAAGCAGAGGTTATAATGTTTGTTTTTGATTTTAGTGTAAAATTAGTATCATATTCATATGATTTTGTAAATAATGGATTAAATCTCCAATTAAATGCAATATCCTAGATGTTTAGGTCTGGTATCTCATGAGTGTTGTACATGGGTGTTTACATTAACACTCGGATTTTGTCCAAAAATTACAGCAAAGTTTGTATTTTTGGTAAACTTTTTGTTTCGTTTTTAAGAAAAAAAAATGTCAGTGCCTTCATTGGAGGGACAAAGCTGAAAAGAGGACACAGAGTAAGGAACGTTAATGGTCCCGGGTCCTCCCCAGCAGGGACTGAGCCGCCAGCCCAACATTGTGATCTATAGAGCAGCCCTAGTTGGTATTCTTAATGGTATTTTAGAGTTTACTGGTAAGTTTGCTGTTGTTGTGGTCAAAACCCAGGAACCACCTGCCGCTGCTGAAGTGAAAGCTGGAATGTGGCAGGTTGTTTATTTGGGAAATCAGGAAGTTCTGGCAGCACACTGCAAAGCCTGTTTCGGCAGGGACGGGAAATGTTGAACATAACTCCAGATAAGTAGAAGGAGCTCTGTGGACAATGTGACATATTTCTTCAGAGAAACTGAACTGGCAGGCTGAGGTTGTGGATTTAGTCATGCAACAGGAAGAACCTTAAATATATTTATTTTTTTCCAGCTCAGTAAACAGTAAAGCATCTCAACAAGCTTTTCCAAATTGACAAGATTTGGGTTATTTTAAAGCTTTCCGGTATGAACAGCAGGCTCATATTTAAAATCCCTTTTGTCCATAAATCCCAGTATCAGCTCATTAATAGTGACATAATTTAGACAAGAATATTACTGTTAAATGTACTTCCTGATGCTTCGTTAGCCACCTTAGAAGAATCAGACATAAAAGCAGAAAAGCTCAGCCAAAGATTTTGAAATGTGCGTAAATAATTTAAACCCTTTTACCACTTCCAAAGGCTAATGAATTATAAGAAATAGGCTATTTAGTGTTCAGCACGTGTTTTTGTAAAAAATTAATACAGTATAACTGTGACAGCAGCTGATCATTTTATCAGTATAGTGATGCATGTATGTTTGACTACACAAGCGCCATAACATGTGAATATTAAACACAAGTAGTGAGATTAAATCCACAGTTTGCAGAAAGCAACACACATGATGTGTGCCTTAGTGAGCAGGTGAATTACTTTTGGTTGTGTGTTTATTTTAGAGACCCAGCTGTTGTTGTGCGTTTTGGTTAGTGACCGAAAGAAGCCGGCAGGGTGTCTGGCCTCAGTCGGAGAGAAAGACTAGTGCAATGATCCACGAGGACCTCAGTATCAGGCTGCTGCTCTCACTATGAGAGGATGGAGCCAGTTGAGGTGGTTTGTGTCTGTTTGTCAGGATGCTCATTTGGCTCCTCTGTTTGAACAGGCTGTGGCCACAAATGACACCGAGGTCGAGGCTGATGCAGGACACACACATTTCTCATCAGTGTGCACTAATAATGTGACAAGGGACCCCCAGGCCTCCTCCTGTCGTACAGCAGTGCTGCTGCTGTGTGGGTTACATTTGTAACCATTAAACTGAACTTTAGAGATCAAAGGAGCCTGTTTAAAGACTTCTGAAACTGCTGTTCCACATAGAAAAAGTACAGTAGGATCTGAACATTGCAGGTCAATGTTTATCTGTGATAAAGGTTTCAATCTAAAAGCTGGTTATTAAAACATTTGAAATTGTTGTACAGGAAATTCTGTAAGAGAAAAAGGTCCACTTACTTAAAAAAATGATGCACCTCAAGTTGACCATTTGTTTATCAATTATTCAACCGGTGCTACCTTTAATTCTTGAAGGAAACTACATTTGTCTTGCACGCCTCCATGATTGTCTGAGATTCAAAAATTGTATTTTAAGTTTTGATGAATTGTCAGGCTGGCTTTCCATCTTTAAGTCTACCAACTGGTTGTCTGCTATTTGTCGATTCATACATTAGTTTTCACCATTTTTATATTTGTTGTTCACAGCAGTGGCGGCTGGTGGAAAAAATTTTTGGTGGGGCAATGGAAATGGTGACAAATCCATACTAGGGCAGTCCGGGGGGATCGTCCCCCGGAATAATTTTTGGAGAAATGACCCCTTAAATTATGACTTCTGGTGATGTTAGAGGGGGGGGGGAGGACATATTGAGGTTTAAAAATATGAAATAATCCATAATCTTCAGTGTGGTTAGCTATGAATCTTCCTGTGCAACCGTACAGTAGGCCCACACAAACTGCAGAACACTGGTGCTTTGGGAACACTCAAATGATTGAATTCCCATTTAAAATCCGGAGACCAAATACGAACATTGTGTGTGTGTGTGTGTGTGTGTGTGTGTGTGTGTGTGTGTGTGTGTTTGTGTGTGGGTGTGTGTTTGGAGTTGGGTGTGTGTGTCTGTACATGAGATGTGACTGTGCATGCTTGGCTGTATGTTCTACAAACATCAAGCATCATGTCTGCACTAATGTTCCCTAGTGGAAGTCCAGTCAGACATTACTTCAAGTTCTTACCTCATGCAGTTGGACTCAGCTGTCGCCACTTAGACGTTGGTCCAGGTTAAGAGTTCAGACTCATTGATGTTTGCTCATATCTGACGCGTCCTGTTAGAGTCCAGATATGAACATGATGAAAATCATATGTGCAGGAAGAAGATCTACTATCAGGAGAAAATGAGGGGCCCTTTATCTGAACAAAAACATGACCAGGAAGGAAGTGGAAGAAAAAGGTTGAAAATGGAGAAGTAGGAAGAAGGAATGGAACGTGTATCCTGCCTTTAAGTCATCGTCATAACATCTGCAGACTGAAGAAGGATCAATAGTGTAAGAGGTCAATGGGAACCAATTGTTTCCAACCCTGATCTGAAGATGATAGGGTCGCCCCCAAGAAGCATTAAGACTTTTGTGTTTGAAATGTCCATGGTTTTTTAACCACTTTATTTCTACTTATTAAGAAGACATAACATATCGAATAGGTGTAAGGGAAACTTCTGTGTAGCAATGCAGTGGGAGTCACACTGCATTGCTACACAGAAGTTTCCCTTACACCTATTCGATATGTTATGTCTTCTTAATAAGTAGAAATAAAGTGGTTAAAAAACCATGGANGTGTGTGTGTGTGTGTGTGTGTGTGTGTGTGTGTGTGTGTGTGTGTGTGTGTGTGTGTGTGTGTGTGTGTGTGTGTGTGTGTGTGTCAACCTGCTGTAAAATATATGTTCTGGCAGGTGGTGAGCAGTATGCAGCACATACTGTCTCTGGAGGTGGAGTGCTACTGTAGGTGTAATCTCCAAAGGCAATGATTTATATCAGGAACAATCATTTATTTAACATGAAGCTGAAACTCCTGAAACACAAAATAAAAAATAGCTGGTGATGCATACTCAAATCGTTTATCGCACTTCGCTGTTTCCCACAAAACTTTATCCCTTTCCGGCAGGTAGGAAGTACGAGAAATACTGTATTACAATAGGGTATTTGATGCCTTTGAGTTATCTTACTTGTCAGATAACAAGATATATGCGAGAGAAAAAGATTCACCATCTTCTCTCACTCTCTAGCACCAGGGTCCTTTTGGACATAGGACAAGTAGAGGAGCAGAGACATCGTTTTCTAACCAAATCCCTTCAGTTATTCTTCTTCTATTCTGATAAATTGACTAATTTATTGCAAATCTAAGAAAATATGAAAAATGGCCCCTAAGCCTGAGTTTTTTTTGTGAACATTTTTTCTTTTAAACATATCTTTTGCTACATTGGTACTTTGGTAAATCTACAGTATATTAAAAAACATAATTAAAAGAATCAATATTATAAAAGTTTGACAGACAATTGTCCTTTCAAGGTCACTTTTTTGTTTTTTTCTAAAGCTTTCAAACACATCATGCTGCGTTCACAAACAGATGGAGGTGCTTAGTTGTCATGGAAACAATTATTATCTCGACACATAGAAGGTATCCATATATGGAGTAAATACAGTTTTTTGAAATCCTGAGGAAAGTAGGAATATTTTATTACAGCCTTAAAAAAATAAATATGTTTGTTGATCCACAAACACCTCCTGTAACTCCGACAAGTTCTACCTAAAAGTCTTGAGGAAAACATTACTGCCAGC